AAAATAGTGGATTATGCATCAAGAAGAAAAATTTGAAATGATCAGAAACCATGTAAATAGCTAGGCTTCGCTGCTGCCACATATGCATTATTATTGTTACTGTTATTTTTTTTTTTGAACAACAAAAAATATTATTTATTAATAAATAGAGTATAAGAGGTATCCCCAACCCATCAACTTAACAATTTGAAAGTCATACAATTTTAAACCCTTTTGTATGGTGTCGACCCCTGAATTATGTGCCAGCACCACGTCCGTGTCGAATATTTGGGTGCATGCAATATAGTGTCGATACCAGATCCAGTGCGTCGGCACTATATCCGTGTTGAACTTTCTGCCTTCTGATGCAAAATCTTTATCAATCACTATACTGATCATGAAAAACATTTCAGCTATCGCCCCGTTATCACGTACATTCATTGAGCATGCCTTGACTACCGCTTAGAACCCCAAAGACCATCAGTGCTTCAGGCACACAATCTCCTTCACTCACTACTCCACCTCCATTTCAGATGACTTTCTCTTGAGATACCTTATATTGTCGCGATTAATGCTCAAACAGTTTGTAGGATTCTTGATCCAATCAGCTATGGAGAAAAAGTTGTCGCTCCTTTTGCCCTTAATCCAGCTAAAGGCCTTGATTTGGACCAGTTCAAATAACCTTCCACCATCCACCTCTTTCCCCCTAAACAATTTTTCATTCCTAGCCAACCAAATTGTCCATATCACTACAAACCATATAAATTCCCATCCCTGCTCACCCCCACTATTTTCAGCATATTGGAATGTTGTTCAAAAAATCTCCAGCAATCTCTATCAGTTACTATTTTAATTCCCCAACATTTGTAGCAAGTTGTCTATAGATCACGTGCCACTTTGCACTGAACGAAAAGGTGGCTGGAATTCTCCTCCCCTGCACCACATAATTCACATCTGCACTCGCCTGGGTCCTGAATCACGCCTCTCTTCAGCAGCTTATCCTTGGTTGGAATTTTACCTTGTAGCAATTGCCAAGAGACTATTGAGATTTTACTCGGTATAAGTGGATTCCATGCTTTTTGTAGAGCCGACCCCTGCTGGTTGTTTCTGTGTTCTGCTGCAAGTATCTGGTATGCTGATTTGGTTGTATAACTACCATCTTTACTGTGAATCCATATCCTTTGATCTGGTCTCCCTCTTGCAATTGTTATCTCGTTAATCTCCTTTAGGAGCTCCAGTTCCTGATGTTCTTCCCAACTGAATCGGGACATTCTCCATTGTAGACTCCACTTCCAAGTGTCATTGTGCCAACCTCCCATTTGTGAGATCTTATAGTCCTTTCCTGCAGATAACAAGTGAAGTCTAGGATATTTGTTAGCTAAACACCCATCCCTACTCCACTTGTCTCACCAGAAACTAATGTCTACCCCTTCCCCTAGTTTTAATTCCAACCCATCCACTAACCATCCTTTCTTCTCTTTTTCAATATCATTCCATCTGCTTAAGTCCCTCCACCAAGATGAGCCGAAATTAATGTTTTCCCTCAACCAATTGAAGCTTGGTTCCCCTACCCGACCATACTTCTCTGCAATAACCTTTTTCCAGAGCCCTTTATTTGCCATGATTATCCTCCCCCACCATTTTCCTAATAGGGTTATATTAAATTTTCTCAAATCCTTAACCCCCAACCACCCTGTTTTTTACCTTTGTAGACCTGTTCCCACTTCACCCAATTTATTTTCTTTTCTCTTGCAGCCCCACCCCATAGAAAACCTCTACAAATTTTATCAAGTGAAAGAATCGTACCTTTTGGGATGAGATACACCGACATCCAGAACACAAGAAGACTGAATAGCACCAAATTAATAAGGGTAATCCGTCCACCAAGAGATAAGTACCGACCCTTCCATGCAGATAATTTTTAGAAAATAATTCCACCAGCGGTTTCCAAAAGGTCTTCTTTCTACTGCTTCCTCCAATGGGGATGCCCAGATATTTAAATGGAAAAACCCCAACTTTGCAGCAAAGCACCCATGACATTTTGTTGAGCCAGCCCTCTTGCAC